CAATTAAAAACTCCAGGAATCTTCCACATGATTCTGAATGAACCTGGGAAACCAACCCATCTACTGGAACCACAATAACATGGTATTCAGAGCAGCAGGGGCCAAATATAGCTCCATGTGGAACCAAGAGGTTGGAGAGAGAAAATCAGTTGAAACTGTTTCCTATCAGAGTTCAGTTTGTCTCTCTGTCTTCACAAACCAGGAGCATCATGGGCTGGGCGGGGCTTCCACTGATGGATCTACTGAGGAAATACAAGAAGCTGATTGGCTGATGGACAGGGAGTTAAAATATGAAGATTAATAACATCATAGATCAGATATTATCGGTGTTTTGTATAGATGTAGTGCTGGATCACATGGTGTTATTAGTGATTATAGATCAGCTGTTGCTCACCTGGTGACTTTAGTCAGTGATGATGGAGGAGGTTTAGTTTTTACTGATCACTTTAAGCTTTTATGTTTTTATCTCTGATCTTTGTTTAAACCTGTTAATCTGGTTTTAATGCTTTTGGACACAAATATCTGTTATCCACTGATGTTCTGGATCTTTGATGATATTGAGGAAAATAAAATCATCTTAACTGCAGATTGGATTTAAGTTTTGATCAGAGATTTTGTTTGACAGTCGCTAATAATTAGTAATAAAGAGACATGGCTGAGAGCAAATATAGATTTTAGAATATAGATTTTAGAATCAGTTTAAATGTTTCAGTGACAGGAAGAAAGAAACAAGAAACATAAATAGAGGAACTGATCAAGAAAGATATAATTATTATCAATAACATGTAGTAACTTTAATGCATATGGAATATAATGGGATGGAAACAGAAAACTGAAAGTAACTGAAAGAGCAGAAGAACATTTAGAGATACGAACTGATGATGTTTGAATGATGGAAAAGAGACAAAAGATGTTGATGAAGGAAACGGATCAGTTCTTGATTTAACACTCGTGTTTAGGAAGATTTCAGCTGATTGTGGAAAATTCATCTGACTAACAACGTGAGGAGAGCCTGGAGCTAAATAGGAACTGGAAATAATAATGAATTTATTCTGATTCAACTTCTTCAAACTGTCACATCACTCATTCAGGAGTCTAAGGAGTTCAGCTGTTAGATTCCTATGATGATTTACTGAGGATAGAAACATTAAAACCATGTTGGATGGAGCTTCAGACCAATCAGCCCCCAGAAGCAAAGAGGAGAAGAAAAGCAGCTCCATGGTGATCAGATGGATGTTTAAAGATCTCAGAGTGAAATAAATAAATTCAGATTTAAAACAAACCTCTAAACTTTAATGAATTTATTTGTTTTAAAATATAAAACACATAAAAAAGTGAAGAAAACTATTCATAAGTCAAAGAGATTTAGAAGTTTAGTAGATCCATCTATGTGGCAGTTTATCTCCACCAGGGGGCGACATCTGGAAAATGATCAAAAGTATGAATGAAATCAGGGAATAAAAGTAGAAAAAGTAAAAATGAGAGCAGAAACTGGTTCAGATCCAAAGTTCTGATAAATTTACTAGGAAAGATAAAAAGACAAGATCAGCTCATCCAGAACTTCTGCAGTGGAGGGAGGATTACTTTCACAAGCCATTACTGCAGCTGCTGGGTTCAGGATGCTGCTTCTTCTTGGACTCTTTGTAAATGTGTGCAGCGCCACCTGGTGCTGCTGGTTGGTAGAGGAAGTGCTGAAAGAGACTGATGGTCTGACCCCCCTACTCCTTTCAGGGTGGAGCCTGCTGGAGGCCGATTCTTGACTCCAGGTCCATGGAGACTGAAGAGATGTAAGTGTGTTTTTCATCTGATTCATGACAACAAAGCAGCTCACATTCAACCATCTTCAAACTGTCACATCACTCATTCAGGAGTCAAAGTGTCAATAAATGATCAATAACTGCAGCTGGATTGTGTTTGTTCTCTCCATCAGATTCCTGTCAACTCACCATCGACACAAACACAGTGAACAGAAAACTCAAACTGTCTAAAGACAACAGGAAGGTGACATGGGAGGAGGAGCTTCAGTCATATCCTGATCATCCAGACAGATTTGATAACTGTCCTCAGCTGCTGTGTAGAACTGGTCTGACTGGTCGCTGTTACTGGGAGGTTGAGTGGAGAGGAGATGTTAATATATCAGTGAGTTACAGAAGAATCAGGAGGAAAGGAAACAGTATAGACTGTTGGTTTGGATATAATGATCATTCCTGGAGTCTGAGATGCTCTGATAGTTATGGTTACTCTGTGATTCACAATGACATAGACACTTGTCTCTTCTCCTCCTCTGTCTCTAACAGAGTAGCAGTGTATGTGGACTGTCCTGCTGGCATTCTGTCCTTCTACAGAGTCTCCTCTGACTCACTGATCCTCCTCCACACCTTCAACACCACATTCACTGAACCTCTGGTTCCTGGATTTGGGTTCTGGTGGCCCAGTTCTGGTTCCTCTTCAGTGTTTCTGAGCTGATTTGAGTCTAAAGAGTCTAAAGTTTCTCATCCTGCTAGAAAATCTCACTGATTAAAATATAATTCAGTCTCTATATGTCTGTTTCATTCAGAAACATATTTTTATGGATCCAAACTGTTTCTTGGTTAAACTTTTCTACACAATCCTGGGATTATTCCAGGATTATTCCAGGATTATTCCAGGATTATAACTGGATCAACTTGTTGTTTTTTCTGTTTCCAGTCAAAAATTCACAATGAATCTCAGGATGTTTTGTTTCTCTCTTGATTTTTTTTCCTTTCATTTTTCATCAGATTCTTTGAATTTCCTGCAGTTTTTCTCAATCACTGGATGTTTTTCATTTCTGTATCTCCTATATTCTTAAATTCATCTTGGATTCAAATGTTGTTTTTTTTGTATATAAACTGCAATTCTACTTCGTGTGTTTTAATGGACAATAAACACATTTTAATCTAAAATATAATTTGTTAACAAAAATGAATCAACTTTCTTTGATGCTGCCAACAGCAGACATGATTCAGTTTAATGGATCCACCATGTTGGAGAAGGAAGAGAGGAAAATATTCAGCTTCTCTGTGATTGTCATGTTATTATCAATTTGGTCATAAGAAGTTAATATTTATACAAAGACCCTTCAAACCTGACCCAGTTCTACTGGTTCTGTCAGGAGGAATGGACCAGAACTCCAACAAGCTCTCATGAGAACCTTGTGGAGGAAACGCTGATATTTGACAAAGTCAGACAGTTTCATGGAAATTTGACCAAAACCTGAAGAGATAAAATTCAGATTTACTGGAGGTTATTAGAGTACTGGGTCCTAACTATTTTTACTTTATATAAATGATATTTAAATGAATCTAACTGGTTCATATTTATTTGCTGATGGTTCTACATTATGAAGCTCTGGGACGTTTTTAGAAGCTTCTCAGTTTAATGGACCCACCATGTTGGAAACCATTAAATTAAATGATGTAGCTCATAAATTCAAAGTCTTCAAAGGGTTTTTGTAAATCATGATGACTGTTGGCAGGTAAAATCTCTTTAATGCATTAATTATGTTTTTTTAAGTCAGTGTCATTTTTCCAAAGCATTTTGATTTTCTTAAGACATCCTGCATCGTCCCAGTGCCCAAGAAGAACAGGCCCAGCGAGCTGAATGACTTACGGCCCGTGGCACTCACTTCACACCTGATGAAGACGTTGGAGCGGCTCTTCCTCAGCCTCCTCAGACCTCAGGTGGAACATGCTCAGGACCTCCTGCAATTCGCCTACCAGGCAGATGTTGGTGTGGAGGATGCCATCCTCTACCTGCTGCACCGGGCCCACTCCCACCTGGATAAGGGCAGCGGCACAGTGAGGATCCTTTTCTTGGACTTCTCCAGTGCCTTCAATACAATCCAGCCCCTTCTGCTCCAGGACAAACTAAACAGCATGGGAGTGGACCAGCTCCTGGTCACCTGGATCCATAGTTACCTCACCAACTGGCCGCAGTATGTCAGGCTAAAGGACACCGTGTCTGACACTGTGGTCAGCAGCACAGGAGCCCCTCAGGGCACAGTGCTGGCCCCTCTTCTCTTCACCCTGTACTCCTCTGACTTTCACTACAACTCGGAGCTGTGTCACATACAGAAGTATGCTGATGACACAGCCATAGTCGGATGTATCAGGGACGACGGAGAGGAGGAATATCGCTGTCTGGTGAGGGACTTTGCACTCTGGTGCCACACAAACCATCTGGAACTCAACACCGCTAGGACGAAGGAGCTGATTATAGACTTTGGGAGGTCCAGACCAAAGCCAAGACCAGTCTTACTAGAGGGAACTGAGGTTGAGGCCGTGGACTCCTACAAGTACCTCGGGATGTGGCTGGACAGTAAACTGGATTGGTCAAAACACACCAGCCACCTGTACGGGAAGGTGCAGAGCAGGATGTACTTCCTGAGGAGACTGCGGTCCTTTAACATCTGCAGCAAACTGCTGTGGATGTTCTACCAGTCAGTGATCGCCAGTGTCCTCTTCTACACCGTGGTGTGCTGGGGAGGCAGCACATCCAAGAAGGACACGTCCAGACTGGACAAACTGACCAGGCGTGCCGGCTCTGTGGTCGGCATGAAGCTGGACTCTCTGGTGACGGTGGCAGAGGCGAGGACACTGAACAAACTGCTGGACATCATGGACGATAGCAGCCACCCTCTACACGCCATCATCAGCAGCCAGAGGAGCCTGTTCAGTGACAGACTGCTGCTTCCCAAGTGCCGGAACAGAGAGACATTAGGTACATGCTTTCGTCAAATTCCATTTTGACAGGTCCCCTTTGACCTAATTCCCCCCCCCCCCCCTCCTCCTCCTCCTCCTCCTCCTCCTCCTCCTTTCTCCTCCTCCTCCTCCTCCTCCTCTTCCTCCTCCTCCTCCTCCTCCTATTGATTTTTATCTTTTTAAAGAGTAATACCAATACAACAACAGTTATTTAATCAAGAAAAATGTATATAATTATATACTATGCCTACTGAAGTTTTAAATAGATTTGGAATGGAGATGTTGCTTCTGATTCTGCGACTGGTGTACAACTGTGGTCTGAGCTGTGGGGGTTTGATCAAATATAGGGTACGGGCTGTGAAATCCATATGGTCTGTGTGTTAGGTTTTTTCTGTTTTCTCTCTGCTGAATTCAGAAAATGTCGTATATCTGACTTTCTTTTTAAGAGTAATACAGCACCCAACAACAACAACAATTATTTAACCAAGTAAAAAAAAATGTATATAATTATGTAGTGAAGTTGAAATAGATTTGGGATGGAGATGTTGCTTCTGATTCTGTGTCTTTATTCAGTCAGGCATAGAATTGGAGGTCCGAGCTGCGATACGCAGAGGCTTGCTTGCTTGCTTGCAAGTAGGTGCGAACTTTGCTGGATGCAGACAGAATGATAAATTAGCCACCTCGGGGATGGGAATTCAGAGCGATACAGAATGACAAATTAGCTAGCTCATGAACCCCCCGCTGATCCTTGGTTCATGAAGGGGGCAAACCAGAGCGACATCTGGTTTTTGTTTGTTTTTTGTTTTTTTTCTCAGTTTATCGCTCTTTCTCTAAAAGAGTAATTACCTTCAGTTATCTGTGAGCGACACACGCTTTAGAAAGAATTAGAACTCGCAGCATTTTCAGAGAGAAGCCCTCCTTACTTTCGGTATAACATAAATCGAAAACTATTCTTTTTTTTTTTAAAAGAAAAAAAGTATTATTCTGAATCATGTATGGTTCTGATGCAGAACAGATCGCTGCTTTAATAAACTCGCAGGACCAAGCTACGCTTTTCGAACGTAAGTAAAAAATCCTCTCTATTTTTAAAAAATCTCTGTATTAAAATATATCGAAAAATGTTTTCTATCTCAATAGTTTATTGTTTTATTTTTTGTAGGTGCAGCGGGTGAAGACGCAGGCCGCGTTTTTCTTCCATATGATATAAGCGGTATTTTATATTTAACTATTGTTTATATTCGATTTCAGAAAAATTATTTAATTAATTAATTAATTTTCTGTCGTTCTATAGACGCAGAGCTCAGGGAGATAGCGGGGGTTCAGGAGCAGGCTGGTTCAGAGTCAGGCAGAACCGGTAAGAGTTTCTTATTTTTGTCATAACTAGTTTTTAGCTCTGAAACTAGTTTTTTTTTTTTTTTTTTTTTTTTGTTAATGTTTCTACTCTCTCTCTCTCTCTCTCTCTCTCTCTCTCTCTCTGATCGGGTGATTTCCATTTCTGACAAAAGAACTCCCTGGCTTACGCTCGCCAGAGGCGTCTAATAACAACTTTATTCTGAAAACCGAATCGCATGAACCAGAAGTTCTACCCGAGGCAGCTGGTTATGATGATGATGATGATGATGAAGTCGTTGATGAGGTCGATGTTTATGAAGAGATAGTGCCAGCGGGGTTATTAACGCCTCCAATATCTCCGTTGAGTGCGCCAGCAAGCCCTATCGGACTTCCAGCACTGCCACCACCACCGCCATCTTCCCCGGCCTCGCAAGAGCTGCAACAATCTGACCCTGAATCAGAAGACGGGGCCTCTTTTGAGATTCCCGCAGCGCAGGAGCAAAACGAGAATCGCCAACGAAAAAGTGAATCAAAGGATAAGATTCGCGGGGAAAGGAATCCTTCTTCTTCACGCAGGGGTAAGTTTATGTATATATTATTTTAATTTAATTATTTTATTTTATTTAAGTTAATTAATTAACATTTTAATTTAATTTAATTGTTTTAAATATATTTAACAGCGAGAAGAGAGAGACGGCGAATTAAGTATGCCTCAGAACGCTTTCACGACAGAGTGGATTTACTTCTTGGATTGATGAAGGGTAATGGATTTTTATACTAAAAATAAAAAAATAAAAAAAACATTTAATAACTGTTACGAGTTTTAATTCCTATGTAATTTTTTTTTTTTTTTTTTTTTTTTTCCTTACAGAATCTTATTTCGTATTACGCAAACGAAGGATCCAGAAAGATGACCGGCTGAAGGGTCAGACTTTCCTGAAGGCTGGCAGGGAAGTTCTTTTCGAAATTGTTAACGACGCATATGAACTTGTAAAATAATTCATGTATGTCTCTTATAACTAATTAAAAGAATGGATGATCGAGAAAGTAGAGTTGAACCATCAGATTATACCAACCAAATTACTGATACAATCCATAATTTACAGGCTCTTGCTGCAGCTTTGAATACTGAGGAAAATAGTGAAAATCTTTTCTCTGAAAATGCTGTCAGTTCACCAATCGGGGACGCTCCCGACGCTGTCGATTATTTAAATCAAATTAACGAGGCGGTTTGTCAGTTGAATAACTGTTTATCCCCACGAAATCCGGTTTTGTTGGACGGGGGGTTACAAAATACAGAATGTCAGCCAGATTATACCAACCAAATTACTGATACAATCCATAATTTACAGGCTCTTGCTGCAGCTTTGAATACTGAGGAAAATAGTGAAAATCTTTTCTCTGAAAATGATGCGAGTTCAGCTCTCAGTTCACCAATCGGGGACGCTCCCTACGCTGTCGATTATTTAAATCAAATTAACGAGGCGGTTTGTCAGCTGAATAACTGTTTATCCCCACGAAATCCGGTTTTGTTGGACGGTGGGTTACAAAATACAGAATCAAACTCTGCTGCAGATGACGATGATGATGATAATGATGATGATGATGATGATGATGATGACAGGGAGCAAAACGGGGGAAATTTAAACCCAAATCAGAGAGTTGAACGTCAGCGTTTTAATAACATTGAAATACGGAGATCATTGTCTATTCCACCTCCGGCTAACAACGTCCCCCATCTTGCTGAATTCTATACAGCTGTGATGAACGTAATAATTGACCTGGCTAACACCGCTGGTTCAATTGCCTCACGCAATGATGTTTTGCAGCTGGAATTAGTGGGGGGAAATAATATTTTCCATCATCTGACTTTTTCTGTTGATGAAAATGACACAATTCTGCCTGCGTTTGAAGAATTTTTAGAAGAGCTTGTTCAGTCTAATTCAGACTTGCCTTCTCAAGATAATTTAGAATTAGTTCTTCAGATAGTTCAAAATCCCAATGGCGGGGCGGGGGAAAAACGCAAGGCTGAAAAAACTCTGGAATCGGAATTAATTAAAAAGAAAAAGCGACACTTGTATATTATAGAAAATACAGGTAATCAGTTATGTTTAGCAATAAATCTGGCCCACATAACACATCCGGAATTTACAGACGCGCAAGCTTTTGAACAAGGCAGAAAGTGGCAGCATCAGGCTGGGTTAACGGACCAGACAGCTGCTACTCTTAGTGACATCGCTAAGTTTGAAAACATTCTACAGAGAAAAATTGTAGTGTTTCATCGAACCTCGAAAATCGGTCCCTTCAATAAATTTGAAACAGGTTTTCAAAATCGAACAGACCCGTGCTTTCTCCTGTTACATAATAGGCATTTTTATGGAATTAAGAACCTGCTCGGGTTTACAGGATCGCGGTATATCTGCAAATTTTGTTACAGTAGTTACAGTAAGCCAAACATGCACCATTGCTCCGGTTACTGTGGAGTCTGTAGGACGTACAGCTGTGCACAGCTTGTGTACACAGCTGTACGTTGCGCGGATTGTAACAGAATTTGTCGAAACGCAAGATGCTTCGAACTGCATAAGGAAAAACGCATCAGACCTCGTGCTGAAATGCTAGTGAGTGATTGTGACATAATCAAATTCTGCTCCACGTGTAAGAGAATATATTATCATTCTCTATCTAAAGAAAAAAAAATTGAGCACGTTTGCGCATCCAATTGCGTAATCTGCGGTGAAAAAAATGTACCTCCCGATATCGATGTAACTCTGAACGATCATCAATGCTACATTCAAAAGAGTCACCCGGACAAAAAGCTTCATGACAAGCTTGTCTTTTATGATTTTGAATCATTTATCGATCAGAGAGGGACACATATCCCTTTTCTAGTCTGTTCGAAAACTCTAAACGGGGTCGAATGGCACGCGTACGGGGTCGATTGCGCTAAGGAATTTCTTCTCCATTTTCGACGACCTCTTTATAAAAATTTTACGTTTCTAGCCCATAATGCACGAGGGTATGATAGTTATCTCATCCTCAACGCTATGACGCAGCTAGGAATAAAACCGCATTTAATCATGCAAGGTGGGAAAGTGCTGTGTTTTACAGAACCAGACTATAAGCTCAGATTTATCGACAGCCTGTCATTTCTCACCATGAAACTTTCAGCGATGCCTAAAGCTCTAGGATTTACGGACCATTCAAAAGGTTATTTCCCACATCTGTTCTCGTCATTAGAACGGCTAAACTACGTAGGTGAATTTCCTTCTCTCGACTTTTACGGTGTCAAACTTATGAACCCGCTCGAGAGGGAGAAAATTACTGAATGGTACAGAGAATCATCCAAAGGCATTTTTGACTTTGAGAAAGAATCACTCCGGTATTGCAAAAATGATGTGGAAATTCTTTTACAAGGTTGTGTTAAATTCAGAGAGGAGTTCTTCAGGGAGACTAAAATTGACCCATTTAACAGCATCACTGTAGCGTCAGCGTGCATGAGGGTTTTTGTTAGCAATTTTCTTCCAGAAAAAAGTTTAGCCATCCCATCGCCTGTAGATTACAGACGAGGGTCTAAATCGTTTTCCAGCGCGTCGGTGCAATGGCTGGAATGGAACATGAGCGCTAGAAACATTCATATTGACCATGCGTTGAACACGGGTGAACGCAGGATAGGGCCATATTTTGTAGATGGATTTGCTGTAATTTCAGGTACACCCACCGTGTTTTCGTTTGAGGGGTGTTTTTACCATGGATGTCAGCGCTGTTTTACACCTACGGAAACATGCCCGCTCAGGAAGGTCCCGTTCGAACAGATTTATGCGGCTACTGTTGAAAGGACTAGAATTCTGCAATCTGTTTACAAGGTTACAATCGAAACAATGTGGGAGCATGACTGGGATGACATGAAAAAATCTCACGCAGGGGTGATTAGATTCTTGGAGAAATTTGCTGCGCCTGAGCCATTAGCGCCAAGAAAGGCCCTGTATGGGGGCAGAACTTGTGCTCTGAAATTGCGTTACACAGCAGGCCCGGGCGAATCCGTGCATTACGTGGATTTTACGTCATTGTACCCCTTTGTGAACTCCACTTGTGCATATCCATTAGGTCATCCTACGATCATCTACAAAGATTTTAATAACCCGTGTGAATATTTTGGTTTCATCAGGGCAAAAGTGTACACACCCCGAGGGTTATATTTTCCAATCCTGCCCTACAAGACGTCTAAAAGCAAACTAGTTTTCACTCTTTGTCGCACTTGTGCAGAGATTAACAATCAGACAGAAGCCTGCGCGCACGACGACGAGGAGCGGGCTCTTACCGGTGTGTGGGTGACTGAGGAATTAAAAAAAGCCTTGCAGTGTGGGTATCGCGTTGCTAAAATCACAGAGGTTTGGGATTTTCAGAGAAGCAGCAATACCATCTTTAAACCGTACATTCACACTTTTTTGAAAGGCAAGCAAGAGGCCTCCGGTTATCCGTCTGACGCGACGGATGAGGAGAGCAAACTCAAATATGTGAGAGATTATGAGGTTAATCAAGGGATCCGGCTGGATCCAGAAAAAATTCAGCTGAATCCTGCTAGACGTCAGACTTCAAAGCTCTGTCTCAACTCTTTTTGGGGAAAGTTTGCACAGCGAAATGATCTAACTCAGACCACCATTGTGACAGAGCCTGATGAGTTTTTTAAGTTCTTATTTTCAGGTAAATATAAAGTGAAGTATTTTATATTCATCAGCCCTGAAACCTGTTTGATCGAATGGGTTTACAGCAAAAACTGTGTGACTCCTCCCTCAAAAGTAAATAATATATTTGTTGCAGCATTCACAACAGCCTATGCTCGTTTAAAACTTTACAGCTGTCTGGAACGAGTGCAGGAAAATGTACTTTACATCGACACCGATAGTCTGATTTACAGGGTTAAAGATGGTCAGAGTCCTTTAGAACTGGGGAATTATCTCGGGGATTTAACTGATGAACTGAATGGGGATACTATTCGTGAATTTGCTTCGGCTGGGGCTAAAACATACGCTTACCAGACTAAAAATCTTAACAGAGTAGTAATTCGTGTGAAAGGCATCACTCAAACTCATGAGTGTGCGGAGAGGGTCAATTTTGACAGCATCAAGGAGCTGGTAGAAGGATACTTACACAAAACAGGGGAGGGGATGATTCAGGTGCCGCAGAGCACTATTAAACGTGATAAAAAGGGCTTCTTGTTAAAAAACGCCACATTTCTGAAAAAGTTCCAGGTCGTGTATGACAAACGAAGGCTTTTTTCTGATGGTTCAACTCTACCTTTTGGTTATTAGAGTTTTAAGAGGAAAAAAAAGAGAAACAGATAAAAAAAAAAAAAATGATGTTCAATTCAGATGATGATGTAAAAGAGGTCAACTTTGACCCCAGATTTAAAACCCCTTTCTCATGTATGGTTGTAGGAGCGAGTGGGTGTGGTAAATCGTACATTGTAGGAAAAATGTTGCGAAATCTTGAATATGTTATGAATATTGTACCTGATAATATCATATGGATTTTTACCTCATTCCAGCCTCTGTATGCTGAATTACAAAAAGTGAATAAAAATATTAAATTTGTGAAAGGACTCCCTGATTCTTTCGAGGATGAAGATTTGTACCCGTTGAATAAAAGCCATTTGATTATTCTGGATGACGTCATATTCCAAGCCTCTAATCATCCTGAGGTTGCTAAATTATTTACTCAATACCGACATCACAGAAATGTCTGTTTTATATCTCACTCAGAATGTATTTCAGTAGGGAAAATACAGTCGCACCATCAGTCTAAATAGTAATTATCTGATCCTCTTTAAGAATCCTAGAGACAAATTACAGGTGGATATTTTAGCGCGCCAGATTTTCCCTTCAGCAAAAGCGAGTTTCCTGGAGAGTTTTGAAGATGCGACAAAAGAACCTCATGGTTATTTATTAGTGGATCTGACCCCCTCCTGTCCAGAACGGTACAGATTGAGAACGGGGATACTGCCTGAAGAGCAATTGGCTGTATATTTACCAAAGTAAT